TTGGGAAGTGATAAATGCCAGAGGCTGAGGGACATCCTGACAGTTTCAGCACAGCTAAACACACTTTCTCCCTAGCAAGAATAAGGAGCCTCAGCCAGTCAATGAAGCTAGAACAGGGAATTCAACTCTAGCAACATCTTTAACTCACAGAAAAATATGTGGATGGGACAATCAAATTTTTACCAGCACTGCATAGCATCAGAGAAAAAAAATTCTGCAGTGGCCTTAATTTTTTGATCTGAATACCAAGACTAATTTTATAATGAGGCAAATAGACATCAGCCTATACTTCTGAAGCATCAACACAGCAGTTGTGGAACTGCTCACCAGGCTTTCCAGTTTGGGTTATTAATCACACAGATGCCAAGAAATGGAGCCAAAAGAGAATAAGTATTTTAAGCTAGAGAGTAGAAACATTCAGGAGATACTGAAACAAGAAACAACCATTTTCTGCTAGGATAGACAGCTCAAAGCAACTGACTGGAGAAAACCATTGTTTGCCCCTCTCCATCTCCCAGTTTGTATCATCGACCCTTAGCATTCCCAACCATGAACTCTGGGTACATGGCAGGAGGTTATCCCTGCCTCAGAGACTTTACCTTCTTTCCACATCTTCTCTGGATCGGTGCTGATATTTTCAGAATTGTATCTTATCTACAAAACAGCCATGAAGAACCTTTATAACATCACCTCTGCATGGCTTCCCACAACCAGTGAGCTTACTACTGCTGAGTTTCAGCAGCAATAATGAGGGCAAACCCTAACTCCTCAGAGCCCCTGCCCAGGGAGTGGTTAGTTAATTCCCTGCAGCTGAGCTGAGCCCACCCTGAAAACCTCTCTGGCAATTAGGCACAGGTCTAACTGGTTTTAGGCCTCCCAGTCAGGTCTGTGTTTCTGCTGCCTCTACTAAGGTGCTGTCTGTTTGGAAAGCTGAAGCTGACCTTCTCTTCAGCAAGAGCAAGTATTTAAGGCCTTCACAACCAGTAAAAAAACCCCAAATTGTGGAGAATTCAAGTCCAGTCCATGCTCAATTTGCTTTATTTACATATAAACTGCAGCCTGTAACAGAGGAGGTCAAACACCATCCTGCCTGCTTCCTCTGGCCAATACCATCCTGTTGCACATATGTAATTTGGCTTCATAAAATTGCTTATAATTAGATATCAAAGCAGAAACCAAGCCTTTCTGTTTCTCACTGTAGATTCCTATTTCCAGGGTCTTGTCTAACCAAAACCAACAGTGACACAGGCTGACCTCCCTCTCTGCAAGAATAAAAATAACTTGGAAGATTATATGTATCAGTATTATGTGGTGGCATCCACCATAACAGGATTATAGATCATGTTCTCTTCATTCCTCTAAAGGTTTCTCTTTCTCTGTGTCATTCCCTCTTGAATGGGTTATTGGGGAAAATGTTGCTTGTTATCAGCACTTTTCAAGTCATTGCACTCAAAAGAAAGCTCCTTAGAGCTTTAAAATTTACCTTTGAACTTTATCATTGCATTCCACTTCATAAATTCTCTCCTATAGCTGCACAATCCTATCTCCAAATAACACTTATAGGACAGAAGGAATTGTGAGACAGGGCAGTTTTACATTTGGCAATACAGACATGCACATCCACCCCAGGGACACTTGTAAACATACCTGTGAATAAATTCTCATGCTGCCTGCACTGGTGGGAAAACATTGCTGCTCCAGGAGAGATATAAACTTTGTCCTCTCTGGTCTTGTGCTGCAGGAGACTTGGACAGGATTCCATAGGGTCCCCAAATAGTCCTTGTTTCTGTAGGCTGAAGCAGTTCCCAGGCATCTACTTTTTAACCATCTCTACATTTCCTGGAGTACCTAAGTGTAGTTCCCTCGCAACTGAACATGGAAATGGCTAACAGATAGACTTATAGTCAGTGGAGTCAGGTCTGAGAAAGTCTCAAAAATATTCACACCACCAGATCCTCCTCTGTCCCAAAAAAAGGTAGTAACACTTCCTCATGCCCGTGCATTCCTAGGCATCTACTTTTTAACCATCTCTACATTTCCTGGAGTACCTAAGTGTAGTTCCCTCGCAACTGAACATGGAAATGGCTAACAGATAGACTTATAGTCAGTGGAGTCAGGTCTGAGAAAGTCTCAAAAATATTCACACCACCAGATCCTCCTCTGTCCCAAAAAAAGGTAGTAACACTTCCTCATGCCCGTGCATTCCTTTCCTGAGTATTCTGACACTACTGCTGAAAGCAAACAGAAAGCTGCTCATATGGAACTCCCCTACCTTTCTTGTTGAAGAAAGAAGACTTAAGAGACAAGTCTACTCCCAAACCAGTCAAAGCATCATGGATTAGGTAAAAGGACTAGTATTACTGGCACAAAAGTCCCCATATGGCTTCAGTGGCATAGTGGTGGTGTCCAAGCTGAAAGACTTGCTACTGTGTGTGCTGTTTAAGATTTTACAGACATTTGACAAGGGATAAGAAAGAAGGCTGGTAAAAGGCTGAAATGTTTATGAAGTTAGAGTGTCATCTATAGAATGAAATGAAAATATAGTCTTCTCAATCCTGGAGATATCCAGGGTGCATGTGTCCTGCTACTAACCCACATTTGGCCAGAGTTTCTAATGGTTTCAGCTGTACCTTGTGGTATCTTATGCCAGGCACAGACACACAGACATCATTTCAGCACTGCAGCCCAATGGGAAAGATGACCTGCTGTGCATGCTCCTCTAATGCAGTTGTCCAACTCCAGTGCCAACACTAGAAAACAAAGCCTGCTTACAGGAAGACTCAGCTGAATTGCCACAATCGAGGAATAGAGGCACCTGGTCATTAGCTCTTCCTATCTCACATGTCTTAAAGCCTTCTAGATTGTTGATATTTGAGCTGCTTAGCCCTACCCAACTCTAAAATATGGCCATATAGCTTATATGTGACTATGTTATGCCTGACACCTTTTCTGTCAAGGTGCACTGCATTGTAAGAGTAGATTTCTCCACTTCTGGATAAGAAACTTCTATTAGTGTTAGTTTTCCCCACCAGTCATGCTTCTGTGAAAAACAGAAGCAGAAACATATTACATGAACAACACAGTTACAAAGGTTTTCTGCATTATACAAGTGTCTAAGTGTCTACGTGTTTTACAGGGGAAAAAAAACCCCATGTGTATTTTGTCTCCATCCAGGCTTTTTATACTTACTCATTTTCAGAAGGGCAACAAATTGAGAATGCAAAAAACTTTATTAGCATAAAAAGTACATATTCAGTAATCAATACTCAAATTCCTTCATGGCATCTGGCATGTTTGATACATCTTTCTGTATCTGCTACATCTGAAGGAAGACAGGGCTGTAAGACGCCGCAGTTTAAGGTTGGTGGGGGTTGTTGTTGGGTTTTTGTTTTGTGCCTTTTTAAGTTATGTAAACAATTCAGAGTGAAATCTGTACAAGCAGAATATTAGCTATCATTTGTACACTTAGAAGTTAAATAAAACCCACTTTCAGCAGTACAAAAAGCAATATAAAAAAGAATTCAGGTGCATGAGATGCATCAGAAGAAAATGTAGAAGGCCACAGCCAGTAAGTGAACATGTCTCCAAAGTTAGGTCACACTGGAAATTCTCTGTAAATATCTGTATGGCTCAACATGAAAAACATTTAAAATTCCTTGGTTCTATATGAGATCTGTACAGTTGCATCTATTTTAACTTCATTAGACAGGAATATACTAGAACAATAAACTGGTTAAACAGAATAAGAAAAGTTTACTCAAGTTTCACATTTCAAGCTGCCTATTTGATAGAGTGACTAGACAGAGGTAGATACCCAGTATTGGTGGCCAAGCTATTCCAAACAAGACCTTTTGGCTATCTTGTCAAGCTTTTACATTCAAAGCCTATGTGAAAAGGCTTCATAGATAAAGGATGTGTTTCAAACAGGCAGCCAGAAAACCTGTATTGCTGATGGATGGAGTTTCAA